AACCTGGAGAGTGAGCTCTTATCGGTGCTTTCTGGAGGACAATCAGACAGATCAGTATCTCCAGGGACATTTCGTCAGAGTGGATAAGACAGGCCTCTATAATTTTTGATCATTTTGTCCACTCTCACAGCCACTCACAGCCACTTAAAGACGTGCTAGCAGCTCTGAGCTTAATGAAGATGCCCACATTACTTCCACCACAGTTACTTTGGAAGGTGCATTGTGGGGGTATACGGATGGCGAGAGCTTCAGTCCAAAGACTGCTCAACTGGCTAATGTATAAATAATAATAGTGACTTAAGTGACATCTGCATTTAGATCTATGGGATTTTTTAATGTAACACCCCTGTTTAAACTGGATTAAGACTTAAATTTGAGTATATTTAAAGGTATTGCCTCTTTGAGTGACGGATAGGTGCTGTCATAAGGCATGGTCTGCATTCATTCCACTCAGGTTTCTTCTTCTTGCTGAGTAACTGGGAGTTAGGAGGAGTCGTGCAATGCCAACATGGTGACAGCCTGAACCACCACAGTGAGCCTCACAACTGCTCTTTAGGAAACCTCTGAATGAGTTTGTCCATCTTTTAATACAATCAATGGGCGACTCTTCAGAGTCAAACACCATGCTGAGGCACTTCATGTTTTCTTTTTTCACCTATCTCTTCATCAAGCCACAATGTTTTCTTTTCATTAGTATGAAAGAAGACATGTTATGGAAACAAAATGGCCTCAAATGTCAAAATTGACCATAACATGAAAAAAACTAATTAAAGTTCAATGTCCAGTTAACATGCTATCATGTTAGCATGATGTTGAATGTATGACTATAAAAATAGGTGCATACACGAAGAATGACACGCATATGTCCAAGTATTCCTTCACATGAATGAAAGAAATGTCTTGGTAAGAAATTAGAAGTTTGGCATTAAAACCACAAAGACAACGTGACAAAGAATGGACCTCTGCACATAGACATACAGGCGTCATTACACCCACAGTCACACATACGGAAGTGAAACACTCACTCTTCAAACTCAAGAAACTAATAATGTAATCTGACACTGCTCGCTGTCTTCCTCCCTCTCTGCCTCCTTCCTTCACTGCCCCCTCATTCCATGCTTCCTCCTTTCTTCTCTCCCTCCCTCCCTCTCCATCCCACACTGACCTTTCTGCTAAGTGGTGGCCGCTGTAAACTGACCAGTCTTTCTTCTGCCCCCATATCCCTGTGTCTTTCTGTGGGAAGGATGGATGACTGATGGACGGAAGAAGAGAAAGATAACATCTTTTAACTGCTGTAGAAAAGTCCCCCACTCTAAAGCTGTGAGAGGGTTGGACTCCAGATTACATTAGAATGACTATGATGGGAGGGACACCTGAATTCATTGTTTTACAACTGAATGTTGCTGAAAACCTAAAATCTCAGTTTTGCCTTGTTGAACTTGAACAGGTCTTTCTTGTTTTTGCCACTGATAGGGAAGAATCTGAAAGAACTGTTTGAGGGTCGTGCTGCCTTTTTAAATGCTAACATTTTGCTGGCGTGGTGTTGGTGTTCAGCATACAGCTGAGACTGTTGAAATAACACCACCACTACAGACTGGAGGGAGCTCTCTGCAGCTTCAGCAAAGACAGCGGATTTTAAAAATAATATGCAAAGCCACAAGAACGCCATTTCTGTATGCACACTAATATGAATCCTTGTCTGGAAGGACATTTTCCCCCTCCATTAAAATAATAATAAAAACATAATTAGAATCTTTTTACATGAGCATTGTTTTACAAAATATCTCAGTACCCACATGTATGCAAAAGCAACAACAGATGCTCTGATAAGCCCGCCAGGACAAGTTTACATCAATGACACATCAAATACCAGAGAACAGTCTGCCATTTAATCATATCTGATGGACAGTACACGGTAGATGCTGTGGACCAAGTAATATTGGGAACATCAGAGACAGAAGCTTTTGCAGGCTAATGAGGTGGTGCTGTAATTCTAAGATAAAGCCCCTTTCAAACATTCACTCCTTTCTGTAAATCTGACTGCGTCTGAATAGGTCAGCTTAATGTCTGAATGAGCATCCTGCTCACTATTTCATGCAAATATCAATGATCATCTAACCAGGTCAGACCTGGTGACATTTCTGTGTTGCTTTCACCACAGCACAAGTTTGAAGTGCACGCAGTCCCAATAGCAGGTAGACGTGCACAAGATGAGGATGTACTTCAAGTGGTGTGAAGGTTGTTGTGGAAGGTTTTCATTGATTACTAAGAATTATAAATAATCTCTGACATGGAGACAGGACCAATCAGGACCTAACAGTGAATGACTGATTAGTTTTCGTCTACTCAGACATTTGAGCTGTCTCAAACTGAATCTTGGTTTATCAACTGTATTTAAATAACTTATTGCATAGTGATCATCCTCAGGTTGAGTCCTGAGAACACAGGGATATTTTCATTTTACTGTTAGTAAAGTAGTGTTTGAGTATTGTCACACATGGACAAAATGTTCACAATTTAGGAAAATTAACTAATTAAAATAAACTTGGCTATTAGCTATTTGGACAACTTGAAAATATAGTTGATATACTGTCCAATCTCTCATGTTTGACAAACATCATGTGTACTGTGGTTCTTTCTATCACCGTGGAGGGCGTGTCTGAATGAAGTCATGAGGAACATTATCGTTCAAGTGAATTCTCTGTATTATTGTGGACAAGGCTTTTGTCAGCACAGGGAATTTTAAAGCTAAGATTTATTACCTCTTCATACTTTTTTTTCAAATTAATTGTATTGCTTTATTCATGTTCATTTTATTATAGTTGTTCACTCTCTGATAATAAATATCAAGTTTGGGATTTTTGTTCCATGTGTATATTCTGTGATTAATTTACTAATGAAAATAACCTTGGGAATAGAACAATCTGCATCCAAGTGAGAATGACAGAAGGGAAGAAAAATAATTCAGCAGCTGACATCTACGGCAACTCAGCCTGTTTGTAATTTAGGGTAAGTAAACATGGATTCACTGCTTTATTTGTCTTTATCACAAAAACAATTCTAGCATTTAAGGCAGTTTCTGTAAAATTGTTGACAAAAGGAGCAAGCTGAGACTAAAACAATTAGCAAACATTAGCATACATAAGCTAGCACCTGAGACTACAGTTACCACCAGCTAGCTAACAGTTTATCAAATCCTAGATTGATTTCAAAGTCATAATTTAAACATTAAAATGTTCAACGCATTTCACTTCTGTTGAACGAATTCAGTCAAAAATCATTGTGTAAAAAATAAAGTCGTTAAAGAATGGAAATGTTCCCAGTAGTAGTTGCTGAGATGGAAGGAGTGAAAATGTTCAGCTAAGCTAACATTAGCTGGCTTCCATCAAGTTTAGCTTAAGTAAAGTTTAAAATGTAGTTTATTGGTTTTTACAGTTTGTACTTAAGAAATGCTTCTTTCAAATATGTACACCCAGCTGACCTAAATATTTAAATTGTGTTCTTGTTTGTCTCCCTACTGCTCTTCTTGTTTGTTGTAGCTTGTCTGCAGATGTTGGCTAGTCAGCTACATTCAGACTCTTTCTCCTTTTGCAGTCGAGGGAAGTGTTGTGAATTCACAATTAAAATAGTTTGTGAGACTATCTCCTCTGGGTTTGGGTGAAAAACAGCCATCGTCTCACTTAAAACTGACCTACTCAGGTCATACCTCAGTTTCTCAAGTTGTCATTAAGAGTGAAACAAACAACACAGAGTGTGTCTCAGATGTTTTGCTGTGAGTCTTCTGTAGTTTATTTAACATTGTTTGTGGATTGGGGAAAAAAATAACAATACAATTGGAAATATTGTACCAATTTGTTTGAAAGTAATTTGTTTTTTTCAGATTTATTTTGTGAATGGTTTGTTCAAAGTTATTTGTGCACAAGAAGGCACATGTGTAAACATCAAACTATGCATTAAAAATAAAATAACAAGGATCCCAATACACACACAGTGAAAATATGGAGTTACATTTTACCTTGTAGGCATTCAGATGGAGAATGTGAACATGTTTCTTTCTTACTGTAAATGTAATGTTGATATAGCTTTCTTTAATGCTGAACAGTTCAATATATGTTAGCCTGTAGAATGACATTAAAAACAGGAACACACTTACAGCTGTAACTACTCTCTACAAATCCTGTGCATTCTATAAATAAGCTCAGTTAATTTATAATGAAAATTAGACAACAAAATGCTTGTAATTATTTAAGAATTTTAGATAAATAGTCTACCTTATAATCTAATGTTTTGTCAGTCAGTGGTCAGGCTGACAGTGTGACTGCAGATACATTCAGGGTGCAGGCTGTTAACCTACAAAGCTTTCAGTCAGCTGATGTCCAGACAGGCAGGAGAAGAAAAGCACAGATGGATGAAGGAAGTGCTCTTTTCTAAGGATTAAATATTGATGTTTATTAGCACAGAGAATGACTTCAATGAGCACATTAAGAAAATGGTTTGTAAGACTCAGTGTAGTCCATCCATTTAGCATCAGATTTATGAGATGCTGCATACCCAAATGACACAGTGAATATAGAGGTCCAAAGAAAGTTCAGTTGACTGAATTTAGTATCACACACTCTATGAATTCTGTACGGGCTTATTTTGAGTAGCCTGGGATCGAATTTAGTTGTATGAAAATGGGGAACCTGAAACTTCCACTGGGCTTTAGAGAGCATTTGGGTGGCTTCTGGGCAGGTTTCACATCAATTACTAAACAAAATATCTTCAGCCACAGTTACATATGTTTGGGTTTTTATTCTTAGTGACCAGCTATGGTTGGAAATTTTATTTTAAATATTAAAGTGTGTGAGAGCCAGAGACCTACAGAGAGAGATAGACACACACACACACACACACACAGAGAGAGAGAGAGAGAGAGAGAGAGAGAGAGAGAGAGAGAGAGAGAGAGAGAGAGAGAGTTGTGTGTAGAGACTGCCAGTAAGAGGAAATGAGACAGAAAGCTGTAGAACGCAGCTTGCTCAAGTCAGACACTTTAACATTGCTGATTACTAACAATTCTATCAGCCGTTGATGACAATCATCTGCGGTATACCTGCGAGCTTTTCACCTCTCAGACAGTAACAGAAACTGCTGTTGTCTGTCTGCTCAGGTATTTCCCGTCTCTATGACCATATGAGGAACCCGGAACCCGCGCACCTGTGAGCTGACGTCACACGCTGAAAGTACCTGCAGGGACTCGCCCCGCTGAGCGCCTCACTTACGGAAAGTACCTTGAGGAGAGAGGAGGACGACGCCACGACGAGAATTCACAGAGGAATATATTCATAATTCGTTTGTTTTTTAATTTTGCTCCACTTTCTACTTGCGAGGTATATTGAAAGAGGATTTACAGACCGATGGGGACCGCTCGGTTCGCGGTTTTGGGCGTTTTAATCATCGTTTTTCAGGTGAGACTTCCTCCTTGTTCATTGAACTAAACTTCACGAAGGGTTTCCATTTTTTCTTCGCTCTTTCTTCACCGTATAGCTTATTTAAACCGATAGTTAATGTTGTCGCTACACTTATTTACACTAGGTAGCACGCTGTTTGAGTAATACTGACCATTTCCCTCCTGGTTGTCTCGGGATAAGCTCGGTTATGAATGCAGTAGCTTTTCATTTTCATCCACTTTCCTGAGCCAGGACACTTGCTGCGGTTCTGAGCTGTTACCGTGGATGAGAGCAGGGCGGCTGCTCAGCTAGTGGCCAAGTTCTGTTGTAATAAGTCACTGCTTCATTAGCTTAGCAAACATGACCTGGAGACGCTCTTACCACCCAACTAATTTAAAACTAACGTCGATACAAATGTGTGTACCTCACAGCACACACGGTGGCTTTAAATCGCCATTTTTTATTTTTTTAAACTACTTGACTGTTCGCCCGCCTCGAGCGCTCTCCAGAAACTCGGCCTCGCCCTGGTTTCGCTGATGACGCTGCTGCAGGTCACAGTCCGACTCACCGTGTTTCCATCTGATCGCTTACAAACACATTTACAATGTGCTCACACCAATCGATTCTCTGTTGTAATCATACTCATCAGAAGTTTCTACAGTAGTCCTTATAGAATCAGAGTATTAGTGTGAACACGGTGTCTGACCCAGTTTTCAGTATTAAGGTGATTGATAGACTTTCAGCTGAGTAATTGACCACGAATTTCACAATCGATTGTTACCTGAGGAAAAATGCAAACATGTTGCAGTTCCATCATTTACAATGTGATTTTGAAAAAACGATTTATTTATTTAGAAATCCCGTTGATCAAACCAAGAGATTAGTTGAAACAAAACTAAAACCAAACTTAAAAGTTGTCTTTCAGAATACCGATTACACATCTCTCACTGTATTTCATTCAAATTAGGGCTGCCACTTAAAGTTCTTTTCATTTTTAGCTAATGTTCAGACTTTTTTTGGTATTATTGGAATATTGGTTTTGTCTTTTGAATGTCAGACAATAGTAAGTGTGCCTGTCGTCATTTCGTACATCCCAATGTTATTTGACCAAGCGTAAAACAAGACTGGTTGATTTTATTTTCTGTATATTGATTGTCATTACTTATCATTAAAATAACTTTCCGTTTCTGTTCTCCTAGGCCTCAGCTCCACTAACTGCTGAGGAGACAACATGTGTACCTGGATTCGACTCAAGTATGTTGATTTTCAAAATGGCCACAAAGCACCTGAGGCGAGGCACAAGACTGGGCAAAGGTAAGAGCAATCTAAGAAACTGTCCACTCAGTCGTTGCCTCGTGTATACTGTCCTGAATGAACCTGTGGTGTTAATTTGTGATGTTGGGAATAACTTTAAATGAAAGACTTGTAGTTTGTGCAAAGCCACAGAAGCATCTGGACCTGTTAGAGCCATAGATGAAACTTCTTAGCTTTTGTAAAGTGCTTCTACGACTCAGGTGGCCAGCTTCAGATTAGCTGTTCACATTGTTCTCACATGAAGCCCAAACAACCTCAGGTCTCAGCTTGCACTCACTCTGCACCTCTTTTAATGCTCTTACAGACAAAAACAATGTCCCCAAGCCTGTTTTGCAGGCTTTGATTCCAAAGTGGTGTCAAACGCTCAAAGAAAAACAGTGCTTAATTTTTGTCAGTTTACTGGAAGGGGTTTTAAGTTTTGTATATTTTCACTGGATTGTGGCTTTTAAAGAAGCTTTTTTTAATGTTTGTCAAGTCAAGTTAGTTTCCTCTATTCTTCTCTTTACTTCTCTTTCTTTTCTTTTTCCAGTTACCCTACATGTTTGTTCAGCAGCTAAGCACTGTGTAGCTGTATAGCTTTAAGACTTGTTCAACATCACTTGAGTTTTACCATGCAGTGTGGAATATAATAATGTACAAGAAGTTCTTTTCTTATGAAAAAGGATGAATTAAATAACAAAACACAGACCTCAAAGTGAAGTTTCTTTGTACTTTGTACGTGGCTGCAGCTTACTTATTTCCTTCGAGTAGAAACGAACACAGACACTCAGACTATGAAAAAAGCTGACTGAGCTCCCCTTTTATACAGGAGTACTGACTGATGGGGTCTACCAAGAGATATTTGAACTCCTCTGTTGATTCTGGTGACATATAGTCTGCGAAAACATCATCATAATGTGTGCTTTTTCCTGATCAGCTGTTTGGTGCTGTGCTGTGGCTGGTTTACAGTCAACAAAGTACAACGTGTTTGAATAGTGTCTGGCTTAGCAGGAGAGAAATTATCAGACTTTAACCCAGTTAAATTTGCTTATTGTCTCTTCTTTGTTAGCATTGTTAGCTTTTAAGAGATTGACCTGCAAACTGCATAATCGGGAAACACACTTTAGTTTTTATTAGCAAACATTTCCAACATGTCAGAAAGCATCTGACCATCTTGTAGTTGGTGTCTCATCGATAAGGGTCGGTGCTGAGAAAAATTCTGACCACTAGAGGAACCCAACTACTTATTACTACAAAGATTTTAATGACTCAATTGCCTACCCATGTGAGTCATTTGGTTTAGTTGGGGCTATTCACATCAGTACATTTAAGGGTTACGCTTACTTGGATTATAGTTAAGAAATCCCAGCACGTCGTGCCTTTCCGTCACCAACTGAGCCAGCTTGATGCCTTATCATCCAGGGCTAGCTGTTCTAATTGCATCTTTTAGCATTTATTTATTTTTTTGGTCATTTCTCTTCTGTGTCTGATTACACAAAGAGAAACTTGGAATGACTAAACTACACTGCACCAAGTAAGTCATTTATGACAGTCTGCTGCTTTCATTTTCTAACCCAGTGTGACTGAAGTCAATTTAGTGCTAGAAGTAAATTGCTGATGTTCTTGTCTGCTCTGCTCTCGCATTGTGGTTCTGAGCACACAACAACAAAAAATACAACAATTCCCCAGTCTGGAACCAGACTTCTTCATGAACAGATTCATAATAGTAGAACCCTCTGCTAAGCTCTGTTTCCCCAAATGGCTGGTTATAGCACTGATGCTGAATGCATTTTTCCCAGTGTACATGACCCCTTCCAAAGCTACAACTCCACAATACCCAACTTCAAGTATAGCACAATGGAGGCCATACTACACTTTCTCTAACTACTCACTGTGTGGACTGTTTGGCACTACAGTTCAAAATGCAGTTTTGCTTTAATTTGTTTCCCAGAAATATTGCTCATCAGGCTTGTCTCAGGAAATCTTTCTTGATTATTACCTGGTTTGCTTTGTCATTGCTGTATGTAGTGCTGGGTCAGTCATCAGTCAGACATTCCTGGGTGTGTAGGGCCTGGACTTCAATGGGAGGTCAAATGAGTTATACTGCTTTTTACAATCACAACCTGAGCTAAGCATTGAACCCTGTAATTGAGAAGCGTTTTTTTTTTTTCTAAAAACAACAACAACAACAAAAACAAACAAAGTAAACCTGTCTAGTCAATCTGTATTTGATGGATGTATGGATACAATGCACAAGCTGTGTGCACTTGCAACACCAGTTTGATCAGGTGAACTCATTCCTTATGACGCTGCTGAGCTAAAAAGTAGCACTGGGACACTTTTCACAAGTGGTTAGACAGTTAAGTCCTGGATGATATTTAAAAGTGAGCGAGAGAACTTGTAGTGTCCTGGATTTGATTTTAAAATACAGATAAAATTGAAAGCTTAAAAGATAACAAAAAGGGGGGAAATGTATGTTTTTAAAAAATATTAAAGATTACATTTTTTTGAAGGAGTTAACAGTCACTAACTTCATAGCAACTATAATGGTAGGAAGAAAGGGCTGCTTCTTGTATTGACAGATAAATCATATTTTCATTGTCATGATGATATGATAATGCCTAATAAATACAAAATAGACTAACTGAAAGGCAAAGAATAAGAAAAATAATTTTATGTACACATGCCATACATTAATACTCAGCATACAAACATTTGGCTAATCAGATGTAGCCATGCATTTGCCCCAGCTGGCTGTCACCTACCCTATGATTAATTGTCAGTTTGGCAGTGACTGTGAGGTTTGCTTGTATGATGGTTGAAGGAGGAGAGGAAAAACAAAGAAAATTTCAAAAGATGTTTTAAGTTTAGAGGAAAGTATTTTGCAGGGGATGTTGGACTTCAATTTATTTGAGTTACAATGTTAAATGCTCTTTTTTTTTCATTGGTTGCGTATTTATGTACAAGTAGTTTAATGAAAGTGTTCCCACAATACTTATTTGATTTCTCTATTTAGTGGGCAGTGGTTATTCAGTGCTTGGGGTTTGTGTTGGCAGTGTATCTATCGTAGTTCATATGGTTATCACACATTTTCCTTATATTGTGCAGGCCTAGCAGCTTTGCAATTGAAATCCACATTAAAGTGATCAAAGCTGCCATCATGAAGCATGTTCACAATGACATATAAACTGTCCCCAAAGGTGTATGGAAAAACTGAGCTTGCTGCCAGTTGCTGCTAGTTTACTGATTTCTTTGCACTTGTTCTCCTTTGTACTTGCACTTCTTGATACTTTATGGTGTCTTAGTTTGGCTATGATTTTGATTTTATTGAGTGTGGCTTACATACTTAAATCTTAATTGATTTGTGCCTTGCTGTACAAAACTTATTGGTAAAAACTAAGTGGGGGGGAAATGGCATGAATAGAAAGCAGGGCCTTTTCAGAATGGGCATTGTGCAACATTCGCTTTTTAACAGGGACGTCACCACTGTCATGAGTTCATGATAAAATACATTGCACAATTTTCAGCACATTACCTTTAAACTGAAAAAAGAAACGATTCTTGAAACTTGATAGCAATGCAGTGATTTCAGATTCTGATGGTTTGATTTAAGTCAGTTTTGAGAAATACAGTTGATTTCTCAAATCTTGTATAAATCTAATAAAACTTGTTTTGTTAAAATGGTGACATATATGAACTTTAGATTATCTTCAGTGCTGACAGTTTTAGGTGAATATAAAACTATTTTCTGTTTTAGTTAATCACAGCTGCTAAATATTCAGGAACAGCTCCAGTATGTGACGTCAAATCTGTCAAGTGCAACATAAAATTTCAATTCGTCATCTAGGTAGATAAAATCACTTGGTTTCAAATCTCTCAGGTGGGAGGTGCGACCAACTGACAAAGCTTGTCGCACCAATGCCAAAAAATAAAAAATAAAAGTTAGGCTTGAGCCCTGTATTGTTTTTCTGGATGAAAATGTAGTTGCATTTTAGTACATACAAAACAATGTAAGTAACAAAGATCTGCTAGTTATTTCTCTGTATCTTGTTTGTTGTTTCATTCATCTTTTCTCTGTATAATGAATGACCAGTCGAGGCAAACGAGTGAGCGTGGTTCTGTCACTGTTTTCTTCCTGTTAAAGTGCCACCCTGTCTTTACTCCCACTATCACCAAGTGCTGCTCAGTAGGGAATTGTTGGGTTCCTCTCATTATTAATATAATACTTCACTTTGATGTTTGTATTTTCTCAAATAATATTGTCCTAACCTCACAATATACAATGCCTTATGATAACATATGTTGTGATTTGATTCTATAAATAAATTTGAATTGAACTGATATTTAATTGAATTTGCCACATCTGTAATGGATAACTATTTATTCTGTCTATTTGCAGTGGACTTCACTGATTGCACAAACCGCACAAGATTTCCTTTCGCAATTGATGACACACGCTTCAGGGTTCAGACAAATGGCGTGATAACTGTGAGTAAAATTTAACTGACTTGATTTCAATATTGCATTTTCTGATTCTCACCTCTCCAAAATCCTCACACAACCCTTTTTACACCTATATGAGTTTAGGGTAACTATGCTGGGGTAATAGAAATAAGAAAGCAATGGAAGGGGTGAAGAATTTATTTATTTATTTTTTCTCCTTTTTACAGACCTATGAAAGAAGTAATGTTTTCCTATGATTCGCTACCAGGGTAACAAGATTGAAATATAGCATAGTAAACAATTACATGTAGAGTAAAAAATACTACAATGTGGATATTTAGATAAAGTGTGCCTGATATCTATTACACTAAAAATATCTTTCTAACAGTAGCTTTGAGTACTTTTTTGTGAATTTTTATTTAGATATACCACATACTTGGATACATACAAACTCCCTGAAATGTTGGAGGTTTGGTTGAACAGCAATAACAGCCATCGCTTTTGATCATCAATCACTGATTATCACTTTTGTCATTGTACCCTTCACAACTTTGTAAAGAATGTCATAATTGTCGCAGCAGTTCAGTTTGCTCCAGTTTGAAGTTGTGTAATGTTAGATCCAGGACCGGTTCCAGAATTTGGCTTTTGCTTATGAGTGTTTTTTCCCCTCTAGGTATACAGACAGGTTGTTCTTCATAAAGCACAGGACTTTAACATATCCACTTGGGATGCACAAGGTCGCAAAATGTCTGTTCCTGTCAGGGTAGTGCACAATGGGAAGCACCATGGGAACGACCATGGGCAGCGTCATGGGAACGACCATGGGCAGCATCATGGGAATCACCATGGGCAGCATCATGGGCAGCATCATGGGCAGCGTCATGGGCAGCATCATGGGCAGCATCATGGGCAGCATCATGAGCAGCGTCATGGGCAGCATCATGGGCAGCATCATGGGCAGCATCATGGGCAGCATCATGGGCAGCGTCATGGGAACCACCATGGGAAGCATCATGGGCAGCAACACCAAAATGTTGAGCACCACCATGTAGAAGACAAACACCAAAACCACTCTAACAACACAGAGGTAGGTTGAGAGACAGTATTGTAGTATCATGAAGTAAATTTGTTGAAATGTTTTTTCCTCCAAAAAAAAAAAAAATTACAATTGCTGGTCCCATGTGCCTCATATTGTTAGCAAGGGCTAAGACCTTGTCAGGGGCAGTCTGTCAGTAAGAAATGTCTGCATGCAAAGACTGTTTTGCGTTAACACACACTGCCCCTTTGTGGCGGTGCATGAATAGACAACTCTCACCAGTTCTGTTTTCTTAGTCTGTTACATAGCTTTATCATTCCAGCCATACTAGATTATTTGTAAGCCATACAATTGCATATTAAGATGCATAAAGGCAGAATTTCAGTATGTGTAATGTAAGGTAACAGCAGTACTTCAGTGTTTATTATACAGCACAGATTAACTTTTGAAGCACCTTCTTTATTTCAGCCAGATGATATGGATACAATTCATTATTTGTGCAAATTTGTCTCATCCTGCATGACTCTGTGGGAAACTGTTCAAGTAAATAAGCTAATTATTAGTGCTATGGTAATAATTTGCAGTGGATTGAATGATAATGGACCACTACGTGGATTAAAAGGGAGCCCTGGCATATCCACTTTCTATGCCTAAGCTGTCAGCAAACTCTTGCACGTCAACCAGGCACTGACATAACCTGAAGGTGCCCTTGAAAATAAGCTTGTGATCCCGAGATAAATGTACAGTAGGTTTAATATTCACTCACCCAGTCTACATTTGGCTTGCCAGAGCTTGTGAGCTGTGAACAGCTGCCTTTAGTTTGGTTTCCATTCTCATTGGGTTTAGGACTATAAGGGAACCTTCAACAAGGTTTAATCTAAACAAATGTTGTGTACTTTATTGCTAACAGAGTCACTCTCCTCATATCTGTTTGTGTTTGGGTGCAGAGTTGCTTGAGAGCAGCTTGTCCTGGCTCACAGTGGTTAGGAGATGGGTACACCCATTTTATGCCAATACTGAGGCGTACTGTAAGATTAGTGCCCCTTGTTCTAATTTGCCCCTTTCTAGGAGTGGTGTGCTTTCAACCCCTTACTGAAAAACAATGCCTTCATGTTTTCCCAGAGTGCAGCTGATCGACAGGTGCCCATTCTACTTTTTCGAAAGTCAGTTAAAGGACTGAACAGGAGGAAAAGAGACTGGGTTATTCCTGACCTCTCTGTTGTTGAGAATGACAGAGGACCTTATCCCCTCAAAGTATCTCAGGTAAGAGAAACTGAAGTCTCTGTTACTGGGAATGTGATCATGAACATTTTTTATTATTTAGTATTTGTTTTAGCAAAGGATTTTTGAATGTTGGTTTCTACAGCAGTAGCTGTGTTCTAATTGTTATTCCTTTATTATTATTATTTTTTTTGTACTTATAGTGTGTTCAAATAGAAATTTGGGTTTTCTTATGTTGCTGTGTGCACAGCAGTTAGTTATTTATTAATCCTGTAAACCTGAGATTGAAGTTAATTGCTCAAGTTAATTGCTCAAGTTAATTGCTCGAGTTAATTAATTAATTAGTTTCTCAGAACAACAAAGTTGATTTTGAAGTTGTTTTGCAAAATTGTAACTGTCACTGCTGTATTTTGTCCAGATCCGCTCGAATGAAGATAAAATAAAGAAGATCTTTTACAGTATCACTGGTCCAGGAGCCGATCAGCCTCCAGTTGGTCTTTTCAACATGGACAGAACAACTGGAATTCTGTATCTCACACAACCACTTGACCGAGAGAAGCAAGACAAATATACGGTATAAATCTCCTCTGTGATAGTTTTCTTTCGTTTTCCAAATGTTAATTCTTCCTCTACCTCAGAGGGCAGTGGCTATGGTTGATTTTAGTTCATGTAGGTAATACTGTGTTATTTATTAAGCACCCCCGACTAAAAAACGCATGTCCAGACAACCGCCACCACTAACCCCTCCGAGATAATTTACTTCTTTGCTGACCTGCTGCTTTGCTTTGAAATCAGTAATATTCAAAAGTCAATTTACCAAACTGTGTAACTGCACATCTTGTGTCACACTGATGGACTCTCCATGTCTTCAATAACTGAACTGTGTTTAACGTGGTATTTTTCAATGTTCAGTGCTCAGTTTTGCCTGGAGTTCTGTCCAGCAAAACAAACAAAAAAAAAAACTTTTTTGGAAGAACAAAAACACGTCTGTCTTTAATATCACCACTAGATAAAAAGTAAATGCTATGTGAGATTTTCTCATATCTTAAATGTCTTACAAACGTGAGAGCATTTCGTTCTTCAAAAAAACATTGTAAAACTGATATTTTAAAAAGTTCTTTTTATTATTTTCATCAGCATAATGTAATAATGAATGAATCTGCATGGATTCTAATTGTAACTTGTTTGTCTTGTCAGTTTCTAGCACATGCCGTGGCAGAAGGTGCAGGAACAGCTGAGGACCCCATGGATATTGTCGTCAATGTAATTGACCAGAATGACAACAAACCTGTTTTTGCTCAAGCCACCTTTGTGGGAGAAGTTGCTGAGGCCTCAGCAATAGGTACTGTCAGTGGATTTAATTTTAACCATGAAAAAATACTTATTTTTCACTTTTACAGTAGATGAGAACAGAATAGAACTGCTAATGTCTGTCCAAACTTTACTTAAACACAGTGATGTGTGAGGTCTGAACATTCTCTAATGTAAACTCTAAACCCAAAAATGTCTGTAGGTACCACTGTGGGGGATAAAGGTAGTACATCTTCTGGAAATAGTTTTTTGACATATTCAAAACAAGCAACATTTTTGTTCTATTGAAACAGTGTCCACCTATAAATGTAGTATACTTGAACACAACCAAAAGAAAAATGTCCTTTTAAAGCCATTCATTCAACAACTATATCAGTCGATGTAATACTCTGGAAAAAGTACACTGCCCCCCATTAGCAGAAATGACTTCTTGTATGCATTTTTGCCTAAATGTCCCTGACTCTCTGACCTGGGCTTGCTGAAATCTTTTGACCAAGTTCCCACATGAAAGCAGGGTTGAAGTAGGTGCCAGTGTCTACAAAATTGAGGAATACAAATTTGCAGAAGAAGTTGGAAATTAAAAAACACGAGTGTGTGCTACTGAGGAGGGCACAATGTTTGGATCAAAAACAATGTTTGGATCAAAAACTCTTCACCTTGTTAATTGTTCATTTTCTTGGGAATTTATGGTAGAGGGCCATACATTGATGAACTACATCATTATCCCCACTCACAGATAAAGGAAACAATTTTCTGGGTTAAGTCAGACTTTGAGGGAATAGTTGGTTCTCAGTCTGTTGGATCTGTGAGGAATGGGCATGCGTATAGACGCTTGACAAGGACTGAGTCATTATGGATGGATGAGTGTGTCATTGCACCTTAGAAACAACAAGGTTTGTTGCGAGCGCCCTGTTTGCAGTGATGAGTATCCAATGATATTTATTTGAGAAGGATAACCAGTAACAGGCTGTTGAAGGATATGTTGGCAAAAGCCTGATTTGCAGCAGCCCCAACGCTAAGTTTACAGGACTTACGTGAACTACTGTTTCTGTCATAATACCAGGTATGAGGGGATGTGTTAAGTACATGCTTTCCTGTGAAAGACCAACAGTATATTTGCAGAGGTGGTCAGACTATTTTGAACTCATTGTATTGAATTTTAAATGGGCAAATCAAAAATGGATGTAAACACAAATCAGGTCATTGCTGCCATGTGGTAGTTGTGTAAATCTTCTTTTGTTTTTAGTTTATGCAATGCATCATTGCTAAGTGACGGATTCTACACTAGTCCACTTAATGGAGTGTCATAACTCTCTCAAAATGTTGAGCAAAGACTACAAAAATACTAAACAACTGACTAACAGTGCACACCACAATCAATAGATGCTTTTACGGTTACTTGCATAATTCTGGCCCTCTTCAGGCTTTATTTGTAAATCAACTTTTTAACCAAGTGTTCTAAAAATTTTGCGAAGTCTCTGTTCTTATTTTCACCTCTGTAATCCTTCTGTCCAGGTTATGAGGTGATCAGAGTTAACGCTACAGATGCTGACCAGCAAAATACTGACAACTCGGATATCCGCTACCGTATACTGAGCCAGGAGCCAGCGTTGCCCAGTAGTCCCCTGTTTGTCATCAACTCGGTCAATGGAGTCATCAGAGTGAATTCTGGTGGTCTAGACAGAGAGGTAAGGCTCCTAAAAACAGATATTGTCTGTCTTAGTGTGTTTTCATACCTATCTACTTAAATGATCAGTGCTTCAACCTGTTCTTCAATTTAATTTGGTTCAGTTTGGCCAGTGTAAATGATTCCATGAGAGCTCTGGTGTAGACCAGATAACTCCACTGAGACAGATGCAGACTGACCAAAAGGTGTTTTTTGATCCTCTTTTAGAGTCTGCATGGAAAAAAATAACAAAACCTTAGAAAAAAACACATTAGCTCACATTAAATTGAACTTTAAAGTGAGAGGTATCTTAATTGATTCTCCTCCAACTGATTCTGTTAGTCAAAATGTTTATGCCTTCTTGTTGATGAGTTACATTCATTATGTGTCTCTTCCAACAGAAATATCCACAGTACACTCTGACCGTGCAAGCAGCAGATAGGGTAGGAGAAGGTCTGACTGGACAGGCAAAAGTAATCCTCAAGGTGACAGATAGCAACGACAACGCTCCACAGTTTACTCAGCCCTCTGTAAGTACAACATACTTGTGACTGGAAATATACTGTTAATTTGCTGTGTTTACCTACTAATTTATTAGAACGGATTGGCACATTGATTGCATGTTTTTCAGCATTTTCTGGCTAAAAGTAAACAAGTTATATTCCATACCTGTACAGGGAATTAAGTCAACATCACACAGACCGTGAACATGGGGATCCTTTAGAATTATTCTTTTAATTCTTAGTGAGCAACCAACCAATTTTCTTCAATCTTTATTTTCACTCCCACATTTTGAACACATCCCTTGCATTTTTCCAGTATGAGGCATCAGTTGCAGAAAACAAAGTGGATGCTCTGATCGTCACAATGTCAGTAACAGATGGCGACGAGGTCCATTCCCCAGCCTGGAATGCCAAGTTCAAGATTGTTGATGGTGATCCTGAAGGACTTTTTACAGTGAAAACAGCAAGTAACAAACAAGAGGGAATCATTACAACTGCCAAGGTATGAAGTAAAACAGAAATTCTCAAACAAGACATAATATTAAAGTTGTGAGATTTTGATTAATAAAAATATGTTTGTTCATGGAGGATTTTTTTTTTGCAACCTATGGCAGTTCATTGACTAAATCAATGAACTGCCATAATTCCACATAAATGTGTAACAGTTAAAGAACATGTTTGTCTGATCAGTTGTGCTGGTGCTTTTCCCTTCATCCAACCAGGGTCTTGACTTTGAGAAGGTCAGCAAGCACACCCTGTTGGTTACAGTGGAGAATGAGGTTCCTTTTGCGACTCCACTGCCTACTTCTACAGCCACAGTGGTGGTCAATGTGGAGGATGTTAATGAAGCTCCAGTCTTTGAACCAAAAGAGAAGCTTGTGTCAAAACCGGAGGACCTTGCTGTCGACAGTGACGTGGTGCAGTACTTGGCTACTGATCCAGACACTGCACGCAAACAGACAGTCATGTAAGTGCAAACGGAGGACAGAAATCCCTTGTTAGTTTGAACATGTATTTAAACACATGGTTCACATTGAGTCAATAGATAGTTTGCTATTGTTGCCTTTATATACTGTATAGTGGCCCTAAAATGTCCACAATGGAGCTGTAAAAGTCCACAGCATGTACACTTTCTGCAAACAATCCCACAATACATTGCAATACATTTTTCAGATGTGAAAACAGCATCTGTGCATCTCTACAGCTGTCAGTCAGTGAGACATGAGTGTAAATCACTATTTCACTAGAAGTGCATACAATTTATTAGCCTGTTCAGTGTATGTGGTAACAGAAGTAGGGATCAAATGAACAAGATGGTTATTTCAGACACAGCCGCAGTATTTTCTAAAATCCTATGAATTCCAGTTGTACAAATAAAGAAATACCTTGTCACTTTGAACAGGGCTAGACAGAATTTGAAAAGAGAAAATTCAATTCTCTAACCTCAGAAGTGCAGGAAAGAAGTTATTTATCTGTAAAACTCCGAAGTCAACCTCTTCTTCTAGATGAATTGTCGGCACATTACAGAACTTCTTTTCCAGCGTCATACGAGCAGCCATGTTGTTGAAAGCTGCTCCATCTCTCTTTAGTGATTGGGACAGTTAAATAGAAGTAAATATTAGGTATAGAATAAAAAAAAAAGAATCTCTAGTCAATATAAATTACCTGCTTCGAATGATTTTACTATATTGGTGCAATTAATCTTAAATTTTCTTTGCCTAATACTGTTTAAATGCAGATAGACTTTGCTACATGTCTGACTTAAATTGCTCCTTGTTCAAACAGAAAAAAAACACAGTATACCCCATTGTATGACATGAATCTACATTCAATCAAATATGTTTGCATAGAGTTTACATTTTTTTGTGACTGTTTTGCCCCTGTCCAGGTATAAAATAATTAGTGACCCTGCGGGCTGGCTGAACGTGGCCAAGGATACAGGCCTGATTACAGTGAAAGGCCTCATGGACAGAGAGTCCCACTTTGTCAAGGACAACAAATACACAGCACTCATTGGTGCATATGATGATGGTAAGTGGGAGACAATATTGATAGCTAAGATGTACGGCTTCTGTTAGTATTGCCATGAAATTAAGACTTTGATGGTGTATAGGAATGGGAAGCCTAATCTGCAGTGGGTTAACCCAAAAGTAAAAACTAACAGTTGAATGTTTTAATCTCATAATCTCAAACAGTCCAGATAAAAAGAACTCTGCCTATACCCTACTCAGGAAGAGCTTTCTGCAAAAATATCAACTTTTTGGATTTGATAGCTGCTAAAAAACTAAGAAGTCTAAATATATATTTTATCTTGCTAGAAAGATGGAAGTTTCCCAGTAATTCATGTTTTACTCTTCTGTCGCCAGATGAAGTCCCAGCCACAGGAACTGGTACTCTGATGATCAAGCTTGAAGATGTCAATGACAATGCACCCACCATTTTAGAACGTGAATTTAAGGTGGGTCTTATTTCCAAATAGCAGAGGAGTTGTCATGTGTTCAGCATTTCCATTGCAGATGAAGTTTAATGTGGAAGTTTGTGGTGGTGTGATTGGGTGTGTTTTAAATTAGACTGATTTTCAAGATGTGATAGAATAAAAAGTCAAATCAATAATGAATTCCTAACTCAAGAAAAACAAATCCAACTGTGTGCATTAGCATACCAGCATAAAGATAAGCTTTAATGTGACGTTGTGTTTCCTCAGGTGTGTAACAGGCAGCCGTCTCCTCAGCTGCTGGGTGTAACAGATAAAGATGGACCGGGCTTTGCTGCTCCATACAGAGTCTCTATGCAGGGCATGTCGAAGGCCAACTGGACCGCTAGGATGAACGACACCAGTATGTGCACTCAGTTAGATGGGTCATTCCTGGGAGAATTTTTTACCTTTTTTTTTTTTTTTTAAATGATAGCAACTACAAACTTACAATATGTAAATACAATTTAAAAAGCCAGTAAAGATGAATTTCAAATATTTTGGTGCAAAATGTTTTTTTATTTTTTTAATTTTCTCTATTTTTATCTTTACAGAAACGGGCATCATCCTGAATTTAGCCAGAGAGCTGGAGAGTGGACACTACACGGTGGTCCTGAGGGTTGCAGACACCGAGGGTGTGGAGCAGGACAACACCATTCATGCTGAAGTGTGTGACTGCACTGGAGCTGAAGTGGTGTGTGCAGGGCTTAGGGAAGCTGGCACCAACCTGCCCGTCATCCTAGGAATACTTGCAGGCATCCTGTTGCTACTGAGTGAGTTTAATATTTCTGTACCTTTAGCTCAAGAGGGAAATATGCTTCTTAGAATTCCAGCAATGGATGGATGGATGGATGGATGGATGGATGGATTTTAGGTTTAAATTGTAGCTTGGAAACCAAATCATAGTCAGTAAGCTTTGCATCATTGCTGTGGTTCGGACCCCTGATCTGAGCAACTGTGAGCATCGAGAAGAGCTCTGAATGTTTCAGTGATCTGAAATTTACTGTACAGTTTTACTATACCTTTAATATATTACAGTTTAAAGATGATTTAATACATTCTTGTTACTTGGTGTTCATAGAACTACACTGTTTTGATGATTTTGAGTTAGTTATCTCCCTTAATAGTTAGCACTAGCTTGGCAGCCTCTATTGATTGACAATAGTAACTTGATAGTAGCACAGAAGAACAGGGTATTTCAGGCTTCGATACGCACACAATACTGGTTAGTAACTACATTATCAGTTTTGATTTTTATTACCATTAAGTGAATCGTCCAGTTGTACAATTGCTTTCACGTCCTCAGCTTAGTGGAATTTGTTTGGACTTGTGACTTATGACCCAGGTGCATTGTGTTAAGTTTTGCACTCTGTCTTTAGTGCTGTCACTACTGCTTCTGCTGTTTGCAAGACGAAGGCGAGGAGAGAAGAAGGAGCCTCTACTGCAGGACAATGACATCAGAGACAACATCTATTACTATGATGAAGAGGGAGGTGGAGAGGATGATCAGGTAAAGATTGTGAACATATGCTTAGTTCAATAATTAAAACAGGACACGTGTCACTAAAATGCCACTATACACATCTTTTACACATCAACCATCTTTCCAGGTGACATCAAATCAAGATCTACTGTGTATGTTAAAAAGTTGTATAGTCTCTGTTTTATCTGCAAGTATGTGTGTGTTTATATGTATTGTTTTATTTTATTTATGCATTTATTTTTGTACATTGCCATGTATTGGGGATGGATTTGGGATGTGGTTTCATATCCTGAGAACATTTTATACATGATTTGCTAATGTAGAAACCAATAAACATCTGTTTGCAAAAAAAAGTTGTATAACAATAAAATACAATATGTTCCATATAATAATCTCACGAACTTACTTTCCCTCAGGACTATGATCTGAGTGTTCTCCATCGTGGTCTAGACAACCGCCCCGAGGTGTTCAGGAACGACGTGGTTCCCAATTTCATGCCTGCTCCTCAGTACCGTCCTCGCCCCGCCAACCCAGAAGAGATCGGCAACTTCATCGATGATGTGAGTAAAACAAGAAAAAAAAATTCACCTTAACATAATCAAGCGTGGTCATTTTTCATTCATTACCGTAGCTTATTTGTTTTATTTACTGTTCCAAATTCTATCCAAAATACAAGATAAGAGCACACACACACTGTATATTTCTCTTCTCATGCAAAATATTAGTGCATTGTTAATTCAGAATGTGCCTGTTTGGAACACACTAATTGCTTGGCCTCCAGTATGACTACTTACAACCTTCTCAATAACAGCAAAAGCCACTCATCCAAACTACTTCACCCTGGAGTCTGCCTTAGCTGACCATCAACAATACAACTGTCGAGTTTGAAGTGACAAACACCTTGATTTCTTAGCGAGATGAACAACACAAACTGAAAGACTGTGTTGATTTGGAGTCTCAGTTGCTTATGGTCATGTTTGGCATGATATAGGGGTTTCCCCCATCTCTCCATATTTATTGATATATTAAAACAATTTCTGTGAAATGAGAACATGTATCATTTTCTCCTCCCTCAGAACCTGAAGGCAGCAGACAATGACCCGACAGCGCCCCCCTATGACTCCTTGCTGGTGTTTGACTATGAGGGAGGTGGCTCTGATGCAGGAAGCCTCTCCTCTCTGAATTCATCGAGCAGCGGGGACCAAGACTACGATTGCCTCCAGGAGTGGGGTCCCCGCTTCAAGAAATTGGCTGACATGTACGGAGGTGGAGAAGATGACATGCTATAAATGTACCAAAGAATGAACCCTAACAACTGAAAAGTGGAATCACGCATGGCTGTGTGTATGTTAGATTTATGAATGTGTGGCAGGAAAACTACTCGGTCTGCTAACATAGCTAGTTGCTATGTTGATGTGCTGCTAGTTTTGTACTGTGGATTGGTTTGCCTTTTCAGTGCAGTCCCATTAACGGTTAACAGCCACTGCTCAGAAGCCAAAGGATGAGTTCGTTTTTATACACGAGTTCCACATTTTCAGTGGTTAAGCTCTGTGTGCCTGTCTTAATCTGTTTTCGACTCCTAGGCTAAAGACTAAAAATGATTTTTGTTTGTTTTCTGTTCACTGAGCTCTCAAGCCACAGTGCAGATTCTTTAGCCTGTGTGACAGCTAACACAATGACACTGGACACATGCACACAGAGGCTTACACCTGCACTAGAAACATTTGGCAGTGTATGTATTACATTTTCTTCTTTTATTTTTGTTTGTTGTGAAGTTTGTACTACTGTTTTGTATTTCTGTTTGAGAGATTTAATTAGAAATGATCAAGAGATCAATGATACAGGTAGTCAGCCAATGGTACGTTACCCTGAGTGCTCGATGCGTTATCAATAAATGCTTTTTAAAAATGTTTAGTAAGAGTTTGTTCAGTTGATGTTGTCTTTATTTACACTGCATTGTCAAAAATATTCTTACAGTTAACTCCAAAGGTACTTTATTATTAATGCTTTGTTGAATTGGATTTTTTTAAAATAAAGTTATCTTAATACAATGATGGATTTGTGGATGGTCTTTTGTTTCTTTTATAAAAATTAGTCTTTCATTTGAACTACATTAGACAACCAGAACGTATAGTGCTGTATAGCAGCAGTAGTGCCAAAAGTACTGAATGAGAGAAGTTGTTTGGTTAACACATGCAATAACCTTTCTTTTCAGTGCAGGTGATGGCAGAGAAAGCTGTTTGAATGACCCACACAATTGTTGCCATTTATTCTGTTTGATTAAAAGTCTGTGGCCTAATGCCAGTCTCCTTGTTCACAAATTCTGCGGTGTGCTCCTCGAAGTGCATGAGTGCTCAGGACTGTCCCACTCCCAAATCATCAAGTGAATGAGGCAGACTTTGTGATGCTTTTACACAGTCTGAGTGCATATCCAGACTGTCCTGAGGATCTTACCCATAATTCATAGTGAAATATTTGACATGAACATGCTTGCCACAGATTGTAGACAAATCAAGCATGGATGGCAGAGAGAAGAAATCTGGTCAGTGACAGATGCTAGTTGTTTAAATGTCCACATATGATGTAGTCATGTTTGTGACTTAGCAGTTTTCTAAAATCTAGAAATATAATGTCAGAAGCAGTTATCATCTAAGCTGCTCATCACACTGTGAATGAACCTCAAGTCTAAATTAATTTTTTTTCATGGTGATGCATGGTTTCCAAAACTGCCGTATATTGTGTGTCTCATTATCTCACACACTTGGCATTGCTGCTGACACCAGTTGTGTAGCCTAACAGTGCTTAGGCTTTAGAGTAGAGATTGGGATTGGGCTTGTATGTACAACTGCGCCCCAAAGCACACTTGAATACAGTTTCATCGTCCCCTGTACATAACTTCCAGCACCAGAATTACCAAAGAACACTGCCATGAAGGTTAATATCCCCTCAGGAGACATAACACCTCTTAACCTTTGCTCATGCTGCTGTTCGTGTTTTTTGCTATTAGAGCAAATTTTTATGTATTTATTTATTAAATATAATCAAACTGTGTAATTTGTCAGACTTCATGAATATTAAAGTAAGCTCAGTGGTCTCTACAGTCAGCAGATGTGAATCCAGTAAAACACCTCTGGCATGTGGTAGAACAGGAGACTCACAGGAGACTAAATGTGCAGATGACAAATCTGTAGAAATGTTTTTGAATTGTCCATTTCATAGAGTGACATTTTGTTGTTGTATGTCAGAGGAAGGTCACCAACATGCTGTACAATCTGTGACTCCATGAACTGAGGCTGTTTGAGAGCAAGAGGAGGCCCAACCCAGTATTTGTACAGTGTTCCTAAGAAAGTGCACAGCGAGTTAATGATTCACATAATTTTTTCACACATCAACTCATTCAGTAAGACCTGTGAGCTGTATTCAAGAATCTACAGTAATGCTAATGCTTACTGATATGTCAATCTGCACAACCTTAAAACCTGCATAATATTGTTTGTCCCCCTTGCACTGCCCAAACAGCTCTGGACCTCTGGTGATGTCCTTTGGTGTGTGGTGCTGGGACACTGGCAATGGATCTTTGGTCTTTGGTCTTTGTGGTCATTGTGAATCACGATTGGTCCAGTACATCCTGAAAATGCTCAGCTGGACAGGAATTTGGGGAGTTTGGAAACAAGGCAAGTACCCTGGGTCTTAATTGTGCTCCCCAAGCTGGGCAGTTTTGCAGTGTGGGAGGCAGTTTCGATGAGTGATACATGTCAAAGTGACATCCACATACATTAGGTTCCCCAGCAGGACATTGTAATGTAAGGATCAATGTCATTCACCTCACCTGGCAGTGGTTTTTAATGCTTTGACTGATCAGTCTCTGTCAATGTTGTGTTATCATTTTGTGTCCTCTGCCCTCTCGTGGCCAACAAACGTTACTGCAGCCTCTGTCTCAACGCTGCATGAGTGCCTTTTGGATTATACAGACACTTTACGAACTGCTTCCATAACATCAGGATTCAAGTGTCCCAGTGTACAATTTAAATAGCTGTCAACCAATCAGAGTTTGCTGTTAGGTCAGTGGTTTTAATGCTATGGCAAATCTATGTAGTTACTGATCTGGGTGCTCTTAATTATTTTTCCCACTAGGTGTCAGCAAAGAACTTTTATCATCTTCTGACATTTGGTCAACAAAAAAGGTATTTATTCCATTGAAACATCTTGAAATAATTAACACAGTTGGGACTTTTTTGTTGAGATATTGTCAGGGGTATGAATATTTCTGAACATGAGCGATCACTTTTGGACATATCTATTATTTTGCAAATGAAGTTTAGCCAACTTGTATGTGGATTTGTGCGTAGCAACAAATAGACAAAAGATACACAGAGAGAACCAACACAATAGCTTTTACAAATGAAGAATCTAAAAAAGAATGTTATTTTCCATGGAGTATGAATAATTTTGAGGACGACTTTATCACATGCACTGTATATGTGGTGGGTAGAATCACTGTAGCCTGACTACAAATGGTCTGCGCTAAATGGTCTGCACTTATATAGCGCTTTTCTACCTTTGCGGCACTCAAGGCGCTTTACAATGTTTCTCATTCACCCATTCACACACACATTCATACACCAATGGCGACAGAGCTGCCATGCAAGGCGCGAATCTGCCATTGGGAGCCATTTGGGGTTCGGTGTCTTGCCCAAAGACACTTCGGCATGTGGGAGGAACCGGGGATCGAACCGCCAACCTTGCCATTAGTGGACAACCCACTCTACCTGAGCCACAGCCGCCCAAAACTACAGTCACTGGTAATATCTAAAGCAGAGTTTATGCTTATCATTGCTGCCCTTATGCATTGAGACGAAAGGTGTAGGCTTTTTCAGTAAATGTTGCAAAAATGAAGATGAATGTGTTTCTCGCTGTTCATTCTGGTGATGTGCTCTTGCAGATATTTTGAGCCCCTTTAAACACTTTTGACTCATCCAGATCATTAGATAGTAAAATAGGGTATGCTATAAATGGTCTACACTTGTACAGTACTTTTCTACCTTAGTGGTACTCAAAGGGCTTCACAATGTGTTTCTCATTTGCTGATTCAAACACACCGAGCTGCCATGCAAGGTGCTCGCCTGCCATCGGGTGCAAGTTCAAGTTCAGGGTCTTGCCCAAGGATACTTCGAGATGTGGCGGGGGGATTAAACCATGGATTCGTGGACAACCTGAAAAAATTCTGAAAATAACTGTTGCCTAGGAACGACTCTTATTTAGAAGTTTAACCCAACAAGTATGGAGCCACTAAACATTCATTGACTTATAGATGTTGGTCTGGGACATGGTAGAACCTGTTAGAATATGTATCAAGACTTTGTTAATATCATTAGGAGCAGCTGTGTTATTTTGTCTTGAAGCTGCTGTTAGATATGTCCTGCTGAGAGCGCTACTATAACATTATCCATTGCTGATGGAGGCAGCCATGTTAAGAGTCCTTCTCTTTTAGTCCACTATCAATCAGCCAATCACCTGTCACTAGTCGCTATGGTGATTCTCGCCTTTTTAGTGGCAGTGCAGAGAAAGGAGCAGTCAGGCAGATTAAGGATCAACCCCTCGAACAAACCATCAAAGCTCAAAAACTATAAGTCATATTGAAAAAAATCTTTCACTGTGTGAAGCACAGTCTTGTTTTGAACACGCTGGTGTATTTTCATGTCCGCACTGTGTGTTATACAGATTTGCCGGCAGGTTAGAGAGACCCACTATTGCTTATTTTGCCCGAGACTTCACAGCACAGATTAAATGGGAGTTAATGAGAGGTTTGGTCGGCACAGTCTGTGCTCTGAGGTGATTTATAAAAAATTTTAAAAATAAAAGTCCTATAGCAATAAGGTCACAGCGGGTGGAAGAGGGCAAAAATACCTGAATTAGTGATCACACATGATTTCACCCACTCTAAGTGAATGAAGATTCATAATTTTCTGCTGTGACTGAGTGAAACCATAAAATAAATCAAAACATGGCTTTAGATGAATAACATTCAAAGCCTTGTGAGCCATTTCAACTTTGAATGAGGTTTCTCCTGTAAAACACACCAAAGCGACATGGTTCCAAAGGTGAGTGGGTTTTGGCAGTTGTCTGACCAACTTCCTGTTCATTTCAATGGGGTTTTTTTGAGGCAGTTTTTTTTTAATTTCTTTTTTTTACAAATTTTGTAAACACCACACAACGTATCACTAACGAAAATCATAGCACATCATTCCCGAGCCGTACATTTAATATATAATTTTTTACTGGTTTTCTCAATGCTCAATGCTATTCGTTCCACTGCCATCTGACTAAATCTAGGGTCTTGAATAATTTAGTTATTCCATTTATGTACAAGCCGTAAACAGCACTAACTTTCAAATGGTTCCATAACTCCTAATACGCCACTGAAAGCTCTGAACTTATAAGATGTTTGACTGAGAAGTTAAATCACAAGCTAACTCTTTGTTTCGACTGAGATCTCCCACCTGCTGCCACTGCTCTCCTTGTCTGACCCACCTGCTGCTGCTGTCTCTTCATGTCACATTAACCTGACACTCTGAAGACGTTATTCCCAGCAGGACATGAACAGTCCACAGCAGCCCACTGTTTCAGCCAACTCTAACACTTTCTATGGGACTGCCTGAAAGATAAAAACACAACTTAACAGATCTAAAAATCAATGGTATTTGTTTGGGGGAGTTTTAGCTGTCAAACAATGTATCCCTGGAAGTTTTTTTTTTGTTTCTTATTAATCCATCATTGGAAGTCAGGTTTTCTCATGTTAAAGTAAAGTCACATTTTTAAGTTCTAACATGGTCTAAAAATAGAAATTTGACATTTTAGACTCAATGAACTCGAAACAAAACAAAAGTATACATTTGCATCAAGGAAACTAGAAGGTTCATTTCAATTCAATTTTATTTGTAGAACGCAGTTTACAACATATGTCATCACATAGCTTAACATAGAACCAGGCTCAGGGAAGGCGGCCATCTGCCTCAACTACTAGTTGGGTGAGAGTGGGAATGGGGGGCAACAG